TCCTGTCAATCCCGTGGCACTGAGGGAAATTCCCCCCAAAGAGGATCTGTAAGAACAACAGGACATCTCCTGCTCTGTCCGGGATCCCCACGTGTCCTCCCTCTCTGGGAAGAAGGAGAAACCCAAATCGCTGAGTTCCAGCACGGATTTGGTGTCCACAGAGACGTTTCCCGATCCCAAACCCAGTCTGGATCCCCCCTGAGCTGTTGGGGGTGGCTGAAAGCTGAGATGGCTCTTGGGATGTCGCGGCATTTCATTGTAGGGGATGAAAATGAAAATTTCTTCATCCTCCTCCTCCTCCTCCTCCTCCTCTGATGATGAAGATGATGATGCCAAAGCAGCCACCCGTGGTAGATTTTGTCCCCCCAAAGCTCTGTTTGTTCTCCTGGGTTTCTCTGTGAAACTCAAATCATCCCTGCTCAATTCCTTCTCACGCAGCTCCACGTGGAACGTCGGCCCGGCGGGTTTAAATTGAGAGAAATCCTGCCRGGGGGAAGGAACAGTGAGGCTGGGATGGGTTTGGAAGAAAAAAAATTGGAGTGGATTTAAATTAAAATTAAATAAATTAGAATTAAATTAAAATTTAAAAATTGGATTGGATTTAAGTTTAAAAACGCAAATTAAAATTAAGTTAAAATGAAATTAAAATTTAAAAATTGGATTAGATTTAAATTAAAAAGAAATAAATTCAAATTAAATTGAAATTTAAAAATTGGATTGGATTAAAATTAAAATTAAATTAAAAAATCAAATTAAAATTAAGTTAAAATTAAATTAAAATTTAAAAATTGGATTGGATTAAAATTAAAACTAAATATTAAAAAATTAATTGAAATTAGATATAAAAAATTTTATTTAAAAGAAAAAAAATAAGAAAAATTACTTAAAAAATAGGACTTGAGAATGTAAAACTGAGAGGAGCAGAACCCCTCAGTCCTCCCCAGAACCAGCAAAGTTCTGAGTCCGGAGAGGAGCTCGAAATTTTGGGTCGTACCAAAACCTGAGGAATTTTCCTGTTTTTGGCCTCGAGTTTCACCAGGCAGCAGATGAAGGGACTGACCACAACCAGGAGCACGAAAAACACAAAAACCATCACGAGCAAAAGCGAAAACTTCCACTGCACTGC